CTGAATCTCAAACAGCATGACCCTGAGCAGTAAATGGCAAGAATCAATCAGCAATGTTATCTTTTCTCTACCCTCCTTGAGCATCACTTTCAGCTCTCAAGATGCAATTTCAGCTCAGATTCTCAACTTTCTGTTATTTTAAGTCCTGACTTTCTCAATTTCTTTCTGTTTGTGACTGCATTAGCTGAGAGGCCCTAGAGCATTTGGAGTTCTTTACTTCAGGGGTTCAGCAATCAGTTCAGCTGGGGAATTTGCTGGGGAAAAGCTCTCCAGACATAACTAGTTATATAGATTGACTTCCATAAATATTCATTAGTGCATTTTCTAAACCCTTGTCACAGAAGTCTTGAGAGGCCTGACAGTGTCATCTGTATTAGCTGGTAAACAAGATGTCAGAGCATCTATCAGAGTGAACTGTTACAATCTGCATTATGATTTCTTCAGGGAGACAGAAAGGATTAGCCATGACATGGGAACAGAATTCTAAGAAAGAAGTTTCATAATTAGCTCTGAGGCTTTAGTGAGACACTAGATACCACTTTGGTCTCAGACTTCTGATGCTTAGCCAACTTCAAATTAGAGTCTTCAATAACTTTGAAAAATCTGAGAAAATGATTTAGTCTTTAAAAAGTTCAGTTAAAAATCCTCTTCATGACCAAACATTTTCAGGACCATTTTGATGATCCAGCTCATTTGCTGATTTGCTAATTTAATTCAAAAGTTGTGCCACTTTTTCCTTGGGTTGAGTTTAACACTGGCGACTTCAGCTCACTTGGAGCAATTGGCTTTTAAATTAAATTCAGACCAAACCAGAAGTGTGCCCAGATCTCTGTAGAAATCAAAGACTGACTCCTGCTGTCCCACCTTCCCCACAGGTCACTGAACACAGCCCCTGCTGAGGAATCCACAGGTAAGTCAGGTTCTCTCTAGGGACAAAGTAGCTGAAGGTGATGTCTGGGTTGGTGGCATTGCCATACTCTTTTGTGTACCTCCGATAGACCTGGGGAAGGAAAAATTGTGGTCAATGCACAAGCCAACTCAGATTTACTTCTCAGGATGAAAGTGAGAGAAGTCAATCCCCATTTTTCCATCCAATCCAGAGCCTCAATGCAATGGCTCAGTTCTTGCCAGCTGCAGTCAGAGCACTCACCCTGTGAATTGTGGGCACAAGCCACTGAAAGAGATTAAGCCAAGCAAAAGGTTTAACTCAATACACTCTTCCCCACAGATCTGCAAAGAGCCTGTAGAGAGTCAACCCCAACCATTCCCAAGAGGAACACTATCACCCCTAAGTGAACACTGATCATGGACACCAAGCCTGTCACACCTGCATTCTGCACTGCAGCAAAGCCACACAAACCTGGCCAGTTCTGCCTGGTCCCCTTCCAACTCTGCTACTTTAATTCACCTGTATTTCAATTTCTTCTTGTGTTGGCCCATCTACATGGATTTCCTCCAGGCTTGGCAGGTTGTCCTTCGTGAGAAACACTTTGTATTTGATCTGGTTGTCCTCCAGAACTGACGGATAGGTGACATTCAGTGAGATTTTTCCTTTTCCAGCAACCACATACTCTCCTTTAACCTTAACAGCTAGAGAAGCAGGAGGAGCAGTGAGGTTAAGGGACATGATGTGGTCACCAGAATCCCCTGGTGCTGGCAGCTACAGGCTGCCCATTTGGGAGAAACCAGTTTGATGTCAGCTGGACATCCCAAAGAGCATGGCTTGTATGGCTTCCCACTGGAGAGCACCCCACAAACAAAATGCAGCACCAAGACCTTTTCCTCCCAAATTCCATTTTCTGGTTTGTCTAAGCTCCTTTTAGCCCTGCCTGTATTCCCTCCTCTCCTTTTCATTCAGCTCACCCAGATGTGTGAAGAGTGGTCTCCTGTTGGTAACATGGACTGAGGTAGTGTTACAAGGCAGGGACAGAAACGTCACATACTCTGGAAGGATGGAGAGAACGAAGATATGGTTACCTTCCTTACTGCACCTCTGCTAGAAAGACTGAGGATTACAGACCAACTCCTCTTCCCCTTACTAGCACACTGTCCACTGGAGGACAAGCCTTACAGGCAGCAACAAAGCTTAATTCCAGATGGGGTTATACAGCTCATATAAACAAAAGAAGGACACAGCAGTGATTGCCAACAGGTTAAGTTCACACTGACCTGAGTGCTTGGCTTGAACACAGCTGATGGTGATACAGCTAACAAAACTGAATTGTGTGCCCTGTTCTCACCTTTCTTTTGTTCTTTTTATGTTCTCTGCTAATATCTCTATGTGATACTGCAAGAGCCAGAGCAGTTCCCAAAGAGATGTTTAATATCTCAGGGAGCATTTGGACAATGCTCTCAGGCACATGGTGGGATTCTTGGCACTGTACTGTGCAGGGCCAAGAGTTGGGCCTTAATGATCCTTATGGATCTTTTCCAACTCAGGATATTTATGATTCCATGATCCGATATAGCCTCCAGCTCCTAATAATTTGCTGGACTTCCCAATGGCTGCATTTCTGATCCATATCCAAGGAATGACCAAAAAACCACACTCTGCCTACACAACACAACCCTGCCTTCTCTGTTGGACCACCCAAACTTCATCTCCATACAATAAAATCAAGCAGAAGCAGAAGTCACATAGAGAAGATTTTGAACACTGACCACACATACAAATATGCAGCACACAGAGTACCACAATGTAGAGCCTGAGGGGGAAGACTACACACCTTTAGCTTTTCCTTCCATGTAAGATCCACTGACTTTGGTGCAAGTGGAGTTATCACCCCCACAGACCTTGCAGGAATCCATTAGCTTCTTGGAGTCCATCTGGCCATCACACCCGAATGCCTGAGCAAAGGGGAGAGTGTCAGACCTGCCCATTCTGAGAAGAAAACAAGTGATTGAAACCAACATTCCTGAATTCCTGGAACTGCCCTTTCCATTTGTAATTTGAATTTAAGGAGACAACACAGACAAAGATGCATTTGTACCTAGACCTACCACTGCACAGCAGTATGCAAAGCCAGGGATTGGGAAGTCTTAGCTGAGAGCACAAGTTTCATTAACTGTGTGACATTTTCTTTCCTGGTAAGAAACAGCTCAAAAAGATTTCTCCTGTGACCTAAAACAAAGGCACTGCACTCCTTGTCTTCTATAAACTCCTTCTGGAGGGAGGGAGGAAAAAACAAAAGCCCAGGAGAACAGTAAACATGAATGGCAGGTTCTAAAGGAATCTTTAACTCCCCAAAGCCCAGAACCAAACCTAGCTCACATCCTTCAGCCTGGCCTTCAATCCCATGGAACTCTGAGGAGAGATTCTATCCTCATTCCCACGAACAAGAGTAATTTACACAAAGCTACAGGAGGATCTCAGCAGGCTTAGCAGCAAAACATGTGCAACTGCTGAATTTATGCTAGAGGCACTGATCCCAGGCTTTGGAAGCTGCCCTAACATGCATATTTATCACCGTGGCCAAGAGAAGAGGCAAAACCAGACCAGGTTGTGCCTACACCCTCTGCTGTTCGCTAGGAGAAACACATGACAAACACGGGGAACACGAGGATAATGAGAAAAACATAACATTTAGAAAGTGTATTCTGGGAATGTAAAGAAACAACAGAAAACATACACCCAGGTCAGCACTGAGCAGTTACTAAAATGCAGACAGCGAGGGGGAGTTACATGGAGGCTCATCAGGAAAGAATGACTTTCTCAGGTCCAATCCAGAAAAAAACCTCCAGAAGTTGTACTTCAGTTTTGATCAGTGATACTGCAACAGTTTGTCAACCTGTGATGCCTCAGTTTTACTCCTTATTTTGCCACTGACTTGGTAGTGCAAACCACATAACTTTTCTCCAACAGAGTCAGCATTTTATGGGGCTAATTACACCAACTAAACTGAGCAGCTAATGATGTCTCCTCCACCAACACATAAACCAATTACCCCTTGGATTAGGGATGGATAGCCATGTGTAATTACTGCAAATTAGCAGAATGACTTATTTGGAGGGCACTGGATGCACAGACAGAACAGTAGATTTGTTGGACACCATCCAACACACTAAGAACAAAACTCTCCTGAGAAGAACTCACTTTGTTGTTAGGGACACTGTGGATTTTCCCCTGCTCTGAGTAAACTGACTCCTTTGGTGCAGATTACCTACCTACCAAAGGTTCACCTGGATTCCCCAGTCACTTACTCTGCATCTTCCCATTACACAGAGGTGGAAAGCCCCATGGTGCTCAGTGTCATCCTGCTCACACCTGGTTCCATCTAGGAACTTGTCTTTGCGGCTCACCATGAATTCCTTCTCCATGGCCCTGCACATGTGCTTGCAGAGCAGGTCCCCTGGAGCAGGCAGAAGGAAGGAGTTACTCTTTCAGAAAGACATGTGGATGCCCATCAAGCAATGGGACGAAGCCCAGAGAGGTTGTGGACTCCCATCCCTGGAAGTGTTCAAAGCCAAGTTGGATGGGGCTCTGAGCAACTGGTCTAGTGAAAGGTGTCCCTGCCCATAGCAGGGGGTGGAACTAAATGATCTTTCAGGTCTCTTCCAACACAAACCAGTCTGGGATTCTATGATCTGACAGAGTACCCAGGTTTCATGTAAAAACTAAAACACTCAGTGAAATGGCCTTTCAACTTCAAAGGACAGGTCCATGAGCACTCCCTGCAGAGGTTTCAGACTTTCCTTACCTTTGGCAAAGCCAACAGCAGAAGTCCAGGTATAAAAGGATGGAGTTTCTACAGTAAGATATAGTGGCTTTAAATTTGTTGCTGCACATTGTTCAGCCATAAAGTCCTGCTGGGTCATCAGACAGGCCTGAATCCCAGAGAGAATCGTGTGGGTAAGGAAAGGAAATGACTGAGCACAGAATCCCACAGCAGCATTTTACCCACTAGCTAAAGGCAGAATATAAGCAAAACACCAAAACTACTGCAAATGAAGAAAACCACTTGAAAGAGAGGCAGTGGGATATGCAGAAAATTCTGTTTGCAAGCTGATATCTTTGTTATTTATACAAAACAAATCGATGAGGAAAAGAGGAACAATACAAGAAAGTCCCTCTGAAGAAAACTATCCTTAAGTGAGTCACTATCTTCTCAACATCTGTCCTGCTATGGGGCATAGAGAAAATGCTTCACTACATGTGAACAATGCTGTCAAATAACACTCCTGTCTTCAGTGGCACAGACACCTCTCCTGTTGTCAGACAGTTGAAGGCTGGATACCTTGAGTCCCCCTTCCCAGAGCACTCAGCTGTGAGTACAGTCACAAACCATACAGCTCTCAAAGGGTTAAACTGTGCTCAGACAAAAGCTCAGATGAGGTGATGATCTCCATTACCTGTGTATTGCACAT